GAATTCTAACATATGCGGTGCTTCCATACAAGCGTAAATTAGATTCATTGGGTTTTGTATTAAAAAAAATTTCATAAGGTGTTTTTTGAACTTTTGTGTTTGCTAACAAACGATTCCCAATATAGGCAGCCGTCCGAATACATTCTGGCCAATAAGATTTATCAAGTTTTGCTTCAGCTAATAAACATCTAGCACGATTCATAATTGTTCTGTTGTGTCGTTGCGCTGCGCCATTTAACTCATGAGTATAAGGAGGTCCTGGTGGTAGATATATTCCTTCGTAGTTAATGAACTGATAAAAACCTTTATTCCCGTTTTTTTTGGTGTTTAATTCAATAAACCACCGCAATTTTACTAAAATCGTCAATAAAATTTACAAAATATTTTTCACCTTCATAACCTTCCTGTTTTATTGGACCGTGCACATCTGTATAAATAATCTCTAGTATATCATTTGCTTTACTTCTATTGTTTTCAAATTTTAGATTCGACATTTTGTTTTCTAAACAAGTCTCACATTTTGAAAATTCATTTTCTAATCTATTTGGTAAACCCTCAACCAATTGTAAATTACACATCAATTTTAAACTTTCAAAATTTGTGTAATTTCTAACACATTTGTATGATAAGATTCTGCATTTTCATAATCATAAACATTAGTAGTTAGTTCATATAACTTATTTCTTTTTGTGGCTATGGCAATTAATGTACCTTTGCAATCAAAAATTTTAGCATTATACTTTTAATATGTAATAAAATTATTCTGCTTAATACAGACACACTTAACAAATTATGTTTCATATTTGACACAAAATATACATTTTTAATATTTATTTTTATGATTCTGCCACAAACTTCAAAGCATTCATTAATATTACCTATCTTTTCCGATGTTAGAAAAAAACCGCCACCTACCTTGACATTTACTGGTTTTGTAAGATTTATGAATTCTGAAAAATACTTATCAGTGCTTACTATGTGGTCTGAACAGCCAGTCCAACGGCCATGCAATGTGATCTTCTTTTGCTGGGGAATCTTCAGTTTTTGTCATCATAACCTCCACATGGAATGTGCAATTGCTGTCGATATCTTCTACTTTTGATGTATTTGCGACATGTCGACTGACTTCGTTGATAATTACCTCGGCCTCGTGAATAACTTCTGCAATATTTTTGAATGTGCCCTATCCGATTGCACTTGTAACATTTTGGTAGATTCTCACTCTGTCTGTAATTTGCAGAAGTTCCTTGACTTCTTGATTGCTGACTTGGATTTGAATAAATTGTTGCTCCTTTTGAGGTGCCTCTCTGATGTCTTCCACGTGAAACATTGAACACTTGTGACATTTTATTTCCACTCTTACTCTCTCGTTTTTGAAATTCTATATTTAGTTTTCATTTGACGTACTCGTCTGATTTTTCTTTTTCAGGTAAACCATCTACAATGTCTAATATATGAGAAAGACTTTCTGGCAGCGCAAGCAGTAAATAGTTTAGTTTGTCTTCGTGGGTTATGCCTTCTCCTGTATTTTTGAGTTCGTTACATAGTTTCTCGAATTGATTGAAAAATTTCGTTGGGTTATATTGTTAAATATAACAGCTTTCTTTTACAGAACAGCTTAATAGCACTGCTCTTTACCAAATATAGTTCGTCTAATTTTTGTATCATCTGTTTTGCCGTAGGCTGTGATACAACTAGTTCCAGTTGTGTATTGTTGAGACTACTTACTTTGTAGTTCTTTGCTTGAAAGAACTTTAAAAGGGAAGAAGCCTGAAAATGAAAAGGAAATAAACAAATTGCAAAAGCCAATTTCACTTAAGCCTATCCATAACAAAGAGGGAAAGAACCGACTTGGTGAGTCGAACACATTGAGCAGAAATTTATTCACTATTCGATATTGTACCGCATAAACAATGTGTTATTTTTTAAATTAAATTATTGTAAAACAACGCTTCTGAAAGGATTAAGTAACGTACCCGTACCTGTACGAAACATTTCTTATTATCTACGCCACTAACCCAATTTTTGCCCAGGAAGTCTGCGAAGGAAACAAAGAATGATAATCTAAAAACATAATTACACCCGTTAGGCCAGTAATAACGGCTTTCAGCCGTCGGTAAAAAATATGTGCGTTATATTTAGTAACCGCATTAATTTATTCAAATTACGAAATCGGCTTACTTTTAGCAGTTCCTGCATCGCGCAAGTTTTTCCTGGAAATGGAAATATCCGAAGCCGATCTCTTTCGCGGCTTTATAGAAAATCAAAACTCTTAGGTATAAAAAAAGCAAAAAATTTTTCGAAACCTTCAGTCTGGGATTGTTCGGTGTCTTTTAGCGCTACAGATCACTGAATTTATCTCCCATTGTGCGAAAATACCTAAAATTATAAATTAAAACCGACCGCTTTCTGTGTGTGTGTAATGTGATATTATTTCCCGAAATTTCAATTTAAGACCATCGTACATCTCAGTGGAGGTTAATATAATGCAGAGGAAAAAACAAATACAATGTTCACCAGAAACCCTTCGAAAAGAGCGCATAAAATTAATATACCTAAAAACTCAAAACAATTATGCCTTTTTTAAGATAATAAAAAAATTTATTTGTAATTCATACTGCCATATGTACATTTAACTTACATTTCTTAAATTATTTTTGGTACTGATTTATTTTTTATTTACTTACACAAATGACAAAATCTAATTAATAATTAGGCCCGCAGATGCAAATAATTTCCACCAAATAAACATCCTTTTGTTAATTAACACCAGTTTTTATTAGTAGTAGTAGAAATATTGAGAAATAATATTAAACAATATCTTATTTAGGTTATCTGCCGTAAGCATTAACGTGTACAAGAATCCCCATCACTACCAGCCTCACAAAATCCATATTGGCATAAGCGGAAGTATTCCAGTTATGTAGATGGAGTTCACTTGATACAAGTGAAAAATTAAGAAAAGTATATTTTTGCAGAATACATTTTAACAAACTTTGTGAATTATTTATTTTTGATTATTGGAACATCTGATCTATTTCTTCATAAAAGCTATCAAAAATTTGTCAATTTTTATTACTCACTTCACATAATTTGATATATTTCACTTAGCATCGGATACCCTTATTTAAAATGTTAGCAATAATCACTCGACATGTTTCGATTAAACAAATATAACTTTAAGCCCATATCCACAAGATCGTTGGAAATTATATTATTCAAACAAAAGGAGAGAACAAAAAGAGAGAAAGATATTAAAAACCTTTTAATAATTCTTAGTATATTTACTTAATTTACTTTACTTATATATGTTTTATATTCATATCGCCGTAAGCGTATTTTGCCACCTATGAAAAAAGTTCTTATTTTCGTCCAAATCTTGGGTCGAAATTCTTTACGGATGCCACTGATAAAAGTTCGAAATAATATTTTGCCAACAAACGTATGTACAACTCCTACAAAAATATATAAAATTATGATATAAACATGTTTTCTTCTTAGAACACTGGTAACAGTCAGCACATTATAATGCAATGCAAGATATTCAGGAAACCCGCTATATCGACCTTTAAAGAGTTGCCAATTGCAAAGTGTATCTCTTGCTTAAAGTGAGCCATCCAGACAGTTGCGAAAACTGTGTGATATGATCAAATTTTCATACTCCATAAACAAATCTGAGGCAAGCATTCTGAATTCTGAATAAAGCAGACCAAAAAACTATGAAACAGTAAGCAACGTAAGATAAAATCTAAAAATCTGTTAGTCGTAATTTGCAAACAGTTTCAAGGGTGTCTCTCTATATACATATAATTTGCCATAGGATACTTATTAAAAAAACTTACTCTATATGGAATGTTTACAATTTTATTACTGTGTGCAAATGTAATAATATATTTATAAAACATAAAACGTTCCACAATTTACTGCTGATGATGCTTGTTTAACAGATATATTTTTTAGAAAATCATAACTCCCCACTTATCTTAATCATTTTTTTACAATTTCGCGAGGGTTTCTTCATGCATTTAATGATGTTGAAGACTAATAGGATAATTTTCGGTTTTTGTTTTCTAGCGTTAAATTAACCGACCAAGCGAAAGTAATCACAACTTAATGAATCGGATCGGACGATTGTGGGAGAAGACCTAATTTTTCGCGCCAACTTTAATTAGTCAGAGCAGAAAGGAAAAGTTCATTTTTAATTATAGCGTAACATACGGGGTATTTTAATTACCATTATCATTATGGATTTATGACTTATTACGAGCCATTGTTAGAGGTGTTTTGAATGATGTGCGAGCGTTACCGGCAAATTGCATTACGAGGCACATCAATGGAAAGTTAATAGATCGGAACTGTTCCGACGCCAAACGTTTTGTCGGTTTTTGTATGTAAATTTTTTATTGGGTTTGTGTGAATAAAAGTTTTGTGACGTCTAACGCCGAGTGAAAAAATTGTTAAAATATAAACATAACATATTCTTTGAATATTTTTTTTAATTAGCAAGAGTTAGAAGAAATTTCGGTATTTAATTTAACGAATGATATTCGGTGAAAAAAAAAATCAGTTTTTGACAATGTTTAATTTAGTTTTTTGACAAAACACCAGTAGTTGATTGAATTTGTGATGGTGCCGTGATAACTTGCAAGTAAAACATACGTAAAAATTATTTCGAGTTTGTTTCGTAGCAAAAGCTTTTTCTAAATTATGTGAAACTAACCAAAACGATAAATAAAATATTGTTTTACATTTTGCAAATACGCTTAATTCTCTACAAAGCAGTATTACATATAGAAGAACTTCTATTATAATTCGATATTGGTTACCTACCCTAGAAATAGGAATTTCCTTTGAAACACAGGAGTTGTCATAACACTCCGTCAAGAAAATCAATTGCGATAGATAAACTACTGCTACGAAAATATTCACTGAAAAATTCTTAAGGATTAAGGATTCTTAAAAAACTAGAACTGAAGCTTCATTAAATAAATAACTCTTACCAGTGCTATGATGTCCGTCTTCAAGGATCTGAAAAAAATAATAATATCTTAAAAATCTGAATCATCTGGATACGGAGATAAATTATCAATTCAGACGTCCGTTACTCCTTTCTCTCGCTAAAAAAATTATACGTTTTGCTGTTTTGCTGAATATTATCCGTACTATTCGGTCGATTTGCATTTAAATTAAGCGTTTACCGCATACGGTCTTCGCATGTTTAACCGCGCAACATTGTAACAGTTTTTAATTTCACAATATTGCAATAAAAAAATTGCGAAATTATTTAAACCGTACTTCGTATAAAGTCGCCCGTTTAGCATACCAAATAGGTCCCCATTAAATCATTAAACTGTGACACCTCGATCATCATTCATTTTGGGAAATTTATTGAAGGCAAAAAAAAGACGTCGGCGTTTATACGAATTGTCCCAGCATAAATTCGCGGAGTACATCAGTTATTTTTAAATATTAAGGTCGGGTTTTCCTTTTTCATGTAACAACATGTCGTCAACAAAATTTTTCATGTTTTTGAGATATTGGGTAATTTTGACAATTTTCAATTTTGGGAACCGTATAACCATGTACCATTCAGTTAATTTTTATCTCGGGTAGAGCTAGATAAAATTAAAACCGAATTTATTTCTTCTTGTTCTAAATAAACACTAAATTTTCAAAAAATCAGTAGCGTACTACGATTTTACGAAAAAATATCGATTTGTTCACTTTCTGGGAAGCCACTGAAATGAATAATTTTATTTTAATTATACGAAATAAAGACTCCGACTAATAAGTACGCTTGTAAAATCTGTATCTTCTCCATGAGATATGACCAAAGCTGTTTTTTAAATGATACAACCTATATATTAACTTCGTAACCATCAACTCAGTCCTCCAAAAAACATTCTGGGTAAGGCACTGACCAACACTTTCTCGAATATCAGAAAAACATAGATCCATTGTTTGGTTTCACGCTGAATATGGTTAAAAGAGAATCTAGATAAATCATAGTTCAAGTAAAAACCTCGTAAAGAAAATTTTATTAACCTTTTCGCTCTGCGGTTATTCGGATTCTTTTAAGAGAACTTTATGTGATTTACGCGTTTTTATTGATACGCTCATAATCTGCTGAGTTTATGTCAATAAAATTTTAGATTTTATGATGTATTGCATTGGGATAGTCGTTGATGTTGCTTGAGTAAATGTATTTTTTTTCTGCCAGCGCACAACATCTAAAAATATGTATTGTTTTTACAATTCATTCCTATGCGCAATTTAATTTTATTTGATACTCAATTTAATGGAAATGTTTTTATTAGGTATTCTACAGTTTCTGAGTATTTTCAATAAATTAACTACAGAAAAAACCAGAACTCGTATTCGAGATTTATTTTTGGTATACATAGGCGCCAGAGCTTTATTTGTAAAATAATTAATTAGAATTCGAAAGCATAAGAAACTATATCTAAGGACATATTTTTTACCTGTCTCGTTTATTTATTAATAAATATAACATTTTTGATTTTGATCAGTTGATTTTACATGTAAGTAAAAAATTAAGCCGCCACTTTCAGCGTCTCAATAAATTCTATGCCTTCTTATTACCCTCTCGTTTTTCCCTTCCTTTGCCATAATAATTAATAAAATATTACAGAGTTGTGCTACCCATAATAGGCTGCCATTAGGTCTTATGCTTTTTTTTTAATAAACAATGCCTCATAAACGACTAAATTTTATTAGTTAAGTAACTCCCCAATAAAAAGTACAGATGCTAAAAGCAAGCAAAAATTGGTATTTTCTTATATGGTTCGTGTATTATTCTGATTATTATTATTAGTACTAGCAGTAGTCAGCAGCAGTAGAAGTTGTAGCAGCAGAATCTTTTTAACAATTCGACATTTATTTTGAACGACTTGGCACTAGAACATCTCTAGCATTTCACGAATTAATATACAGTTACCATTGCCATTACTTTATCATTACTTGTGCCTTAAGAAAACTACAAGGATTTTGGTGTGCAGCTCTTTTATTTTGAAACATCCCTATTTACCACATAAGTGAATCTAGAAAATATCTGGGACCCTCGGCAGAATTATGAGAATTATTAGGTACCATTGTAAAATGCCCTCCCTGTATATACAATGGCACGCGCTTCTTGGAAATAACGGCGTGCAGCTTCTGTTTGATGCCTATAGGAAAGTCGCGCGCTCGACAAGAAAAAGTTGTTTATTTGGCCTAGAATGTTTTCTTATTCTTGTTGACTTTGAAAGACTATTATATTTTAATCACGTCTCTTCAAACGGTTAAAGTACGTTTCCAGCGTGGACAGATCAAAACGATTAATGGGAAAATAGTAAACGGAAGAGATTTATTGATTATATATTAACTGAAAAATTGCAAGAGAGATTTTCCGTGATGACTTTTGAATGGCATTAGTGAATAATAAGTCATGACGTTGCGTGATTTTCAATTGTATAGGTATTTCTATAACCTATAACCTGTCCGAAGACTTCGATAAGCGGTTAGACGACTAACCCTTTGAAATGTAATACATGTTTTTAAAAACGTTCCGCTCATGTCCGGGCTGAATAATTTTAATCAATTTAATTTAATTCTAATATCAAAATATATGTCAAAAATTGAAATTGTACTAAAAAAAAAACTAGGTCAATATTTTAAGTAGCTTTGTAGTGTATTGTCTCAACTAGCCTATACGTTCATCTAAGCGAGAATATCTGATAATTTCACATACGATTTGATTTCGGATACCTAGATACCTAATAAAAAGACATATATCCATTTAAATTAAATTTGAAAAAAAAAATAAATACCTTATTTTGAAGAATATATGCTTCAAGTTAAAATCGGAAATAATAGATAAAAGACAAGAAAATTTGATAAAAACAAAAGTGAGCTTAAACGTTTCAAACTTTATTGGATAAGGTCCAAATAACCCCAATTTCAATTGCAAATTTTAGGGTCCAACATTCTCGGAGACTTCGATAAGCGATTAGACGGCGAACTTTTCGCTTAACATTTAAAAAAAGAACGCTAATTTCTAGGGTAAATAGAATATTAACAAATAACGTTGGCTTTATTAATAAAAAAATTCAAAATGGACAAAAAATTATTGTTTATAGTTTTCAAAAAATTATGGGGTGATGTCCAAACAACATCAAGGCCAATTTTAATTTTTTTAAATTTTTATTTTATTTAACTATCTACATCATAAAATTAAATTTTCAGAAAAAACTATTGAACAACCTGAGGTGTAGAATATATATTTCAAGCTAAAAAAAAAACATTGAATAAATGGATAAAAACATAAATAAGGAGAAAACATATTGTCCAAGCTTCTCAAAAATTATTAGATCATGCCCAAATAAAGTTAAGCCAACTTTTTTATTTCACATAAATGTCCCTAACCACTTAACTGTTGCTTCGAACTATACACGAAGCATGAAAAAACGTGGTTGAAACAAAATGAAGAAAAGTGGTATTCTATTTTTCTAAACAAACTTGTGACTTGCGACTAAGGCTTCCATCACATTTCTGTTCAAATGAGCCATATAATCTGGTGCCGTTCGGCTAACTTATTTTTATTTTAATTACGCAGTTGAAAGTCTTCGTAAATTTGATGAACAAGGGACGTAAAGGAAGTTTATTAGGGGTAAACGAGAAAACCTCAAATGCTGAGATGGAAGCAAAATTCGTGTTTTCGTTAGAATTCCAAATGACCAAACAATGAGCAGCTAAATTATTGCGTTCCCGGTGCAAGCGACGTTGCCTACTTGTGCAATCGCGTGATGATATTTTTTGCCCTGCGGTTTCGTTTTACGTATAAGGAAATGATCTGTAAAGTTCGCGTTTTATCGATAGAAGAAATCGATACTTGGAAATGAAAGGGGATCGATGGCGGCGTTGTTGCCGCTCGTATACGTTTTGCGGTCGGGACGTATACCGATGTTTTTGGGTTAGCGGTGAAAGGAAATGAAAATCGATCTATATGTATCAGTAGTGCAAAAGATTAAGTATCACCCGGTGGTATAAATCAAACGTTGCTGAAAAATCGAAACCCATACGAAACTGGTTTGCGATCTTGTGGGTACTATAATCAGCAACCGCAATTTATTACCTATTAAATTCCTAATTATGATCTGAGTTGACTGGGACGCCCTGGTTGTGCCTCCATTGCTGAATTTTCCGTTTTTTTGTGCCGTTTGAAAGTGTTAATATGGTTTAAGAATTCAGCACGAAAAACATATTCAACTGTTAAAAATAAGTCTTTGTTGCATCGTTTTCAAGACACACGTTGTTAAAGTTTATAGGAAAAATCGATTTTTTATTAATTACTGAATTTTTTTTTTCTAATTTCGACAAAAATTGGTACGCTTAGAGGGGCTTTATCAATGTAACTAAGTTAAAAATATTCATTTCAGTGTCTTGATAAAATCATGGAATCTACTAACTTTTTTTTGAAGATTTATTAATTTTGTAAGATCAAACAATCAATAATTAGAGTTTTGTTCTTGCCATTGCTTGCATGATGCTGAAATATTCGAGAAAATCATTTTTTTATTAATTACTCAACAACTTAATTTCTGTTTTTCTATTCGTTTGTTAGTTTTAATAAATTTTTGGAAGTTACTCATTTACAGGTAAAGGAAAACTCAAACTAGTCATGAAAAAAATATTTTTTATGTAATTAATTAAAACCAGATTTTTCTACACCTTGTATCTCGAAAATGAAGCAAGATATGCCACATGTTTATATGTTTGTATATTATTATTCTTTGTTTACAAATGCCCTTAAAATTTGTATATTGAATTTTAAAATACAACGTATAACACGGTTATTTGTATTTTCGATTTTCTTGTTAGTCTGCAAATAGCGTCGTCAGGATTCAAATATTCAAAAGTGTTATTAATAATCAACAACTTAGGTTTTATAGGTGCAAATTGCACTATTTTAACTTACAAATTGAAAGTGAAGAACGTCCAACTATCACGGGAGTCATTAAAATGTCACC